TAGCTGCGTTCCGGTTCCTAATTTTAAATATTCCTAATTTTTAATTTAAGATTGGTTTATGTTTAGGTGTTATGCTATTTGGTATCTTAGTCTGAGAGTTCTTTTCTTCTTCTTTCTTGGATGACAATTTTAAAATTCTTTCATTTAAATTATTAAATCTACATATTTCAGTAACTTTATATTCTCAATTAAAATTCTTTCCGACTATGCAAATAGTTTTTATAGAGCGACATATATCTAACTTCTCCAAAAAATGTAACGAAATATATTAACCCAGAAGATTTTGACAGAAGGAAAATTATAGTTTAAATTTTTTCTATTTCCATTCCTTTTTTTTTTTAATTATGAAAACAGAGCTAGATTATGTTTTCGGATTCGAACAAATTGCCACCTTATAAACTTTCATGTGGTCTTTTATATCCTTATAAATGTTATCATTATGTACTTTTTTTATTTCTTAAAGTCCATGCGACGACTACTGTGTCTCACAACTAGTTGATCAAAAAAAAAAAACTCTTTCAATCTGGATTGGTGTCTTAGTCTCTAATGGAAATAATTCGCTAATTTAGCCGAGTTCTTTAAGCCTTCTTCCTCAATCATATTTTAACTAATCCTAAATTCCTAACTTTAATTTTAAGATAATTTAAAAGAATATGCTATCCGAATATGAGAAAAATCCAAGAGAATAATTAATTTACTATGCTGCTGGCAGAAAAAAAAAATAGTTTACTATGCTGCTTGCTACCACACTTGTACGTGTTCAAGGCGTCGTGGATATATTATGCACCATGAAATCTAACGTTAGGTCTGTTTTTTATTTTTGCTAAATCGTTACGTCATTTTTTTCTTAAAAATAAGAATTAAAGGTTACGTCTGTTTATTTGGTGTGTTTGTTTATAATTTTTAATATAAGAAATTGGAAAGATAAATAAGCAAGGTTATTTCGATCAATAGTTTCAGTCCATGCATGTCTTTATCTCTATGGTCGGCGTATATATGAAAACTAAAAAAACGTTAGATGCGTTGTTTGTAGATAAATTTTATAGTTTTGCGCAAATCAAAACTATATCTACTTAATCTTACACATCTAAGAAAATAGTGCATAGCAATGAATTCTTAGGAAGATTATAATCTTCTAATTAACCATTATTATTTCGATGTTTTGGATATTAAAAATTTTTAGTCAGAAAAACAATGAGTTTTAAGTCAAACTACATTGAATTTGAACTAAAAAAAGAAAGAAAGATTGAACGTCCATAATTGATTCTTAACCTTATAAATACCTTGCTAAAGAAGTTCATCTCTTATAATTTTTTTGCTTTGTAACATCAAATTTAAGAATATTTTGTTGAAATAGAAAAAATGTTATGCACTAAAAATATAGAAAGAGTGAAATATATATACATGATGTTTCACACTGTAAAGTATTGTAGTTGGGAAATAATATAACACAGTATAATGGGATAAATGGACTTTAGTGAAATCTAGTTAAATACAGGCGTGAGATTTTTGATGTCGTGTGTATACCATACCAACCATACTACACACAAAATTTTCATTGTTACTATCGGTGATTGGCGACCCAAAAAAAAAATGCCATTATCTTTCTTCTTTTTGTTATAAATATGTCCACTAGGACCACTATACTAACCCATTCTTTGATACTATTATGGGTTTAGTATTCTCTTACATATATAGCCAACCTCGCAATCAAATTAAAATTTAAGTAGAACTTAAAAGTTAGAGCATATTCTAGAAAGAACTTAAATGTTGTTTTGAATGTATATTATTAATAAATCGAGAAAGAAAGGACAGCAAGCAAATGATGTAATGAAGTTTGAAAATCTTAAACAATAATAGAAATTCATTCGGAAAAAAAAAACTTTAATATGGTAGCTGATTAACAAATTGACATGCGGAAGACTTACATAATTGATAGTTTACTTTATGAAAAGGCTTGCATAATTGATAGTTGCAAAGTTTTAAGAAAACTGATAAATCTGAAACGAGGCTTGTGTTCATCAAAATTTCCTGTGTCAGCGTTTATATTAATGTTACTAAGAGGACAAATTATTGTGGTATTTTAAGTATAATATTGGGTTGTTGGGATTGTTGTAGATAAACCAGGCAATAACATAATCTACCAATAATAATTTATAGTATTTCCCTTTAGTTGAGAAATTAAATAATATTTGACCAGATTAGTAACTTATTATCATTATTCATTTTTGGCAGGGATCTATTTTTAATTTTCTTTGTTAAAGGGTCTTTCTTTTGTGATAAATCACTCTTTCGTTGTAAAAACATGCATCGACAATAATACCTTCATAAGTCATTTCCCTGTGAGATACTGATATGATTTAAAGTTTACATGAACACAAATTCTATACCGTGGAAAAAACTCATTTTACAATGTTATATATAAAAAAATTGAATTATATGGACGAAAATAACTATTTACTAGATGATATCGATGTTATGCATGTGAATAATAATAATAAAAAAACGATATATACGGTTGAGTGTTAGTGTAAGATTTTATTTTTGACACTTTGAAAACGTTATAGATTAACTTGTTTATTATCAATCTAACATGTTCTATACTACCTAAAATATAAAAAAGTAAATTTACGTGTTCATATGACACAATAATATTTAACATGTTATGTACCTTTTTTGTTTGTTATGTACTTACATAATAAGATCTCTTGATCTTTATAATAATCCCAGCCAAGACCAAGGGGTTAATATATTGTCAAATACGCCTATGCACCAAACAATAATAAATTGGTCATTCTTCTAATTTATAAAGTCAAATTCTCTCTAATTTCAAATATTCACCTAAATCACTCTTAAGATAACTTCTTTTCCAAAATAATCTACAACATACGTACTAACCAAATTTAACTAAAATAGTAATAATTTGTTACAAATATCAAATCAAAATTTCTTGAATCCCTGACTTGTCATGTCAAATCATCCATGTTTCGGATTGAAACCAAAGTCTCTGCAATTCATTGACACCCCGGCGGCATTTGCACTCACTCATCACTTTACAGACACATGTATATTAAATAATACTGTTTCATTAATCACACATGACACATGTATTTTGACCATTGATATGCCTTGTTCTTTACGTATGTTGCACTGCAACAACGCTTTGTCGTTAATTTACCTAACTTGGTAAAAGCAAAATACATGTCCAAGATTATCAGTTATTGTTGTCGTTATGTAATTGTTATTGTAGTAAAATCAAACTCTGGTGAGGTAACTGAGTTTGAAGCACTTCGATCGGAATTCTAATTAAATTCAAGCAGCACAATCTAGCTTGCTACTAAAATTTGATGACACGTTAATTCTAATACCAACCGATGAAGCACATTGGAGATCCATTTGGATTTTTGTTGTATTACTTTTTTACACTATCGTAATCATTCGTTACAAAATTTGCAAGGCTAAATAAACATATCTATTCAATATAATAAATGTAACCACGCCTTATTCTATATTTTTCATCTGTCTATTTTATGTATATGTATAATCTTAATTAATTGTATAGTGATGACTGATGAGTAAAACATTAAACATACACGCAACATAGCTATCTTGAAAACTGTTTGATGATTTGAGACAAAGAGACCAAAACAAATGGAACCTTCTTCACATATCTATCACACGTCCTTATACACCACCCAGATTCTGCCATGTGTTCTCACTCCATCAAAATTAATTATTTTAGGGTTAATAGAGATGGTTTAGTCTCATAATTTTTGTTTATTAACTTTTTTTCTTTGGTCAGAACTTTTTGTTTGTTACTAAGGACTTTAAAAATAGAAAGCAAAATTTACTCTTTTGTTTTGTCAACATAATAAGCTGTTTTTTTCTACTTCTTTTTAATTTGTCTCCGTATTTCATCAAGAAAAGACACGTATTTAGATAGATGATTGGAAGGGCGGTACCAAATCTCCTTGACTTGACTTTGCATGTACCATATATATATATATATTTGTATATACAGAATTCATGAAAAAACCAAATTTCCTCTGTAATCAAGTTCTCAAAGCTATTAGCTTCTCTCTCTAGCTCTCTCACATATAAAATTTGAAAAGAGATGGGAAAATCCTCAAGTTCGGAGGAAAGTGAAGTGAAGAAAGGGCCATGGACTCCGGAGGAAGACGAGAAGCTCGTCGGCTATATTCAAACGCACGGTCCCGGAAAATGGCGAACCCTTCCCAAGAACGCCGGTAAATTCCTACCGTAACGCATGCATATATATGAGCACAAATAGCTACAATTTGTTTTCTTGCGTTTTGTTTTACGTTTATGTTTAAAATTTACTAATAATGATTATCATGCTATATCATGTAAATGTCAACGTTAGTATTAAAATTAAAACAAACATGGTTCTTATTCTATTTTTGTGTGAATCTTGAAAAGGGTTAAAAAGATGCGGGAAGAGTTGTAGATTGCGATGGACGAATTATCTAAGACCCGATATCAAGAGAGGAGAGTTCTCTCTTCAAGAGGAAGAAACCATCATTCAACTTCATCGTCTTCTTGGAAACAAGTTAGTCTTTCTTCAATTTTTCTTTTCTTCATCTAGTGTATAATTGTTTACATGTATGATTAAATTAAGTAAAAAATGACCTAGTTTTCCACTACTACACCTACTTCATTGGACTTCCATGTCTTCACATTTTTCTTATAATATTACTTCCATATTTTATTTAATTCAACTAAAAGACAAGAACATAAGCACTATACCAAGGTCAAATGTCTAAAGCTAAGCTTGCAATCTTCAACTCTTTACGCAGCTATTATCTTAGCAACTCAAAACTTATACTTCTCTTTTTGACTTTAACTTAAAATCTAACTCGATTTTTTTTTCCTCTATAGATGGTCCGCAATTGCTATTCACTTGCCGGGAAGAACAGATAACGAAATAAAAAACTATTGGAACACACATATAAAAAAGAAACTCTTACGAATGGGTATTGATCCGGTGACTCATTGTCCGCGAATCAATCTTCTCCAGCTCTCTTCGTTTCTTACCTCATCCTTGTTTAAATCTATGTCCCAACCGATGAATACTTCATTTGATCTCACTACTTCAAATATCAATCCTCATATCTTTAATCACCTCACTGCCTCTCTCAACAACGTTCAGACCGAATCATACCAACCAAACCAACAGCTTCAAAGCGACCTAAACAATGATCAAACCACTTTCACCGGTTTGCTCAACTCAACACCACCGGTTCAATGGCAAAACAATGGAGAATACTTGGGAGATTATCTCAGTTATACCGGTTCAGGTGATCCATCTATGAACCAAGTCCCTCAAACCGGAAACTACTCATCGGCCGCATTTGTATCTGATCAAATTAACGACGGTGAGAATTTTAAGGCCGGATGGAATTTCAGTTCATCAATGCTACATGGAACTTCTTCAAGCAGCTCGACACCGTTGAATTCGTCTTCGACTTTTTATGTCAATGGTGGAAGCGAAGATGATAGAGAGAGTTACGGTAGCGACATGTTGATGTTTCATCATCATCATGATCAGAATAATAATGCTTTGAATCTATCATAATGTCTTATTTCTTTTGCTTCTTCATTTTATTTGTTTTTATTTTTATTTTTATGAGGGTTTGTAATTGTGTTACATACTTTGTACTATAAGAGCTTAGTCTATTATTATCTTGACTATGTTATGTTTTTTCTTCTACATTTTTTTTTTGAATTCGAAGAGGTTTCCATTTGTTTACATTTAAAAGGTCATAAAACCTAAGAGGATAACAACTAGTGTACCTTTATCTTGGCATTGTTCTTCTACTAATTGTTTTTCTACTTCGAAGAACATTCCATTAGTCTACTTTCAAAAGGTCATAAGGTGGTTGATAAATGATAAGTGTATAAATGTGTTACGTACATGGCATTTTAAGAGTTAAGTGTATCCTCAATCTTGGAATTCTTGTGCATTTTCTTCCACTAATTGCTTTTTTTTCCAATTCGAAGAACTTTCCATTTGTTTATCTACACCTAAAAGCTCTTCAACTTGTACGAAATTTTCTGTTTATATAGTTTTATTTATTCTATTTGCACCATCTTGATTTTATTATTAAGAACACATTTGGTGGAGCAGGAAACAATAATGATTATTTAATTGGTCATAGACTCATAAAGGTTCGTTTTCAATTTCAACATATAAGAAAAAAGAAAGAATCGACTTGTATTCCCGTATGATTGGTTTAAATCAGCACAATGAATAATAATAACAATACACTTATACACCTAAAAGGTAGATTTAAATAGTTATCCACTAAAAGAAAATTTATATGAAAGATTAAAATAGTCAACGTTGTTCAAGACACCAAACCCAAGTTATAAAACTGTGCATACAGTGAGATGAGATATACATTATAGTCAATCTTTGCTTTATCTTTTTTTTGGGTCTAATTCATACTTCTTTTTTTATAACACAGTATTAATGCTAATACAAATCACACATTAAATTAGTCAACCTGATCGCTAATATTATCTGTTTCAATTAATTATGGTAACTTCAAATATTTATCAGTAGTTCTTTTAAAATAAAATGTCAGTACGGAAGCAGGTACGAGGTCTAGAAAATTGTTATCTATTGACCATTTTTTTTTTGGACAAAACTATTGACTTATGCATATATATTATAAACATGAAAATTGAATTTTCTTTAATATCTCAAAACTAAATAAATGAAATAATATTTAGAAGAAAAAAGTACAACAAAAGTAATATTTAGCACCACATGTTGAGATGCTACAACAAGAGTACTGTGGCTAATTGTTTTTTTTTTTTGTGAAAAATTGAGATAAACCAATATTATTGATAGTTAGGTTGCTTTTGAACGTCATATACATATAACATAAACTAAGTAGTAGCTAGATGCTACTTTGAAAATTCTGTAATTGACTGATTGACACCTATGTATATGTATAGAGATATACACATCATAGTATTTTATAAATATGTGGTCCATTCTAGTCTCTTGGATTACTGAAAAAAATACATATGCCTAACCATTCAGTGAACCTTGCAGACATAAAATGCAATAAAATAATGAAATGATATGAAAAAAATATTTATGTGTATGCGAAAAAATGTTTATATACTTTGAGAGAAATTTTTTGTTAATAATTAATTATTTAATTAGTTTCTAGATAACAATATTGGAAACAAAAGAGAATTCCATAGGGGAACACAAGAACCTCCTTTGCACGCTATGTTCCGAAGCTTGTCGCTACAAGGACTCAAGCAAAGTGGATTTATACGTCGAGCCTTGAGCATTTAGTCCTACATTTCTTATTTCAATAACCAAATTTATTGATTAGATTTTTTAAAAATATTTACAAAAAGTTCTAAAAAACTCAGAAGAAAATGAAGATAACAAAGATTTTCGGTCATTTGAAATTTTATTTTGATAAATTATGCTAAAACTCTAATTAGAGCTTTTAAATGATATCCAAAGTAACGCAAAATAAATAAATAAAATAGATGGATACTGAAAATGAGATCCATTGTTCGGCAATGAACGGAGGAAACCAACAATTTTGTGGAACTCATCTTCATAAAATTTGACTTTTAAACTCTTTCGAACGATTTAACAAATTTTTTTGTTATGTATTATTGTAATTTACAAGCTATTAACTCTATTTATAATTACACGACATGGTCGTTTGGTCATACGAGTCATAACTCATAGTCATTTCTAATTTTTTCGTTTTATTTTTTACTATATAAGCCAATTGACCATTAATGTGTTTATGTGTAGTCTTTAGCAATTTAGTAACCTGACACATTTCAAAGACAAAATCTTCATTTATTTATATCCAAATGACAAGACTAGAGAATAAATCTCTCACACACAATAATTTTAAATTTTAGAACAGATTTAAACTGATTTGGGCCTTAAGTTTCTCTAAATTCGCTAAGTCCATCAGCTACGTTAAATCACATATGCATGATGAAATGCCTTTGTAGCACGATTGAAATCGAATCTACCAGGAGTAACTTGTTACACACCAAAGATACAAAACAAAGTAAACTAAGATATAACTAATTAGTTGTTTTTGATTCTTATTAATAACTATCAATTAACATGAACCAACTTGTTATAACATCCTAAACTTAATAGAAACGCAATTCACTAATTTGACTGGACTCGCGAACCTATCATCCAACGTGCTGACAGGTGAATGAGATCCACGTCCTGTCGCTAGAAACGTGCTATCAGATTCAAAATATATCAACATAGTCAATCAAATGTGCTAATCTCATTATTATTATTCCACTAATAAAAGACATATCCATATTATTATTATTGTTCAAACTCTACTTAATAATTACTTAATTGTTACAACAACAATATTTGAAAGTAGGGGGAATTCCAAAACCAACACAAGAACCCTCTTTGTATTTCTTGTTCACACAAATCGTATTGCACTCGTTGTTGCCAAGTTTAGGACTGCAAGGATTGAAGCACAGTTGATTTGAAGCCTCCTCCGGTGCAAGATTACCTATTAGAAAGATCCAATTCATTGATAAAATGTATATAAGACACACAAATAAGTATATAAAACCACAAATTTTATTTTTTAAAAATAAAAAGAATCATTTTCTGTTTGAAAAATACTTTTTCTAATTTGAATTGAGAAGTATTTTCATAAATGATACTGAAAATTTTAAAATAGAGCATTTAAATACCGGAGACTTGATCGGAGGAGACTCCGATGAGAACGATGAGGGTGAATACAACCAACATTTTTAAGGATTCCATCTTCATACCATTCAATTTCTTACACACTTTCAAATGGTTTAACTAAATTTTGTTATACTTATGTTTTTTCTTGCTTATGAATTTACAGGCATGTATTAAGTCTTTTTATAATTACAAGAAATGGTCATTGGTCAATACTTATTCATAACCATAAATTCGTTTTTTATTCTTTTACCATACATACTTACATATATTAATATAACAAGTTGACCATTAACCTGTGTAAGAGAACAGCTATGCCACAGCAAATTACTACCAAAACTAATGAAATACAACTATAACCATAATACAAATACATAAGTGTTCTACGCTGCATTCCAATGTAGTACGTTATTATGTTTCTGTTGTAAAGATGCATTTCTGATAAATTAATATGATTAAAATGTACATTAATAAAATTATAGCTCAACCAAGTGAAACAATCAAACAAAAACTTGATAGCACCGTCAAGGATTTGCTAGCAAAGAATGCTAGAGACCATAACACTATTTCTTCTCTTTTTAGCATTTCTGTTTCTTATTGGCTTATGGACACTGGTTATGTGATTAAGAAACAATAACGACAATTAATAATATTATGTACTCTTTCTGTTTTACAAAGATTTTACAAAGACTGCTATTCTACATTTTTCACACATATTAAAAAAATTATTAAAGGTTTTACTATACTCCTTATTAATACATTAAAGAAATAGAGTTAAAAATTAATTTTTATTCAAAATTTTACATTAGAAATACAAAACGATATATTTTGTAAAACAAAAATAAAACTTTAAAACGACATTCTTTTTTTTTGAAACGGAAGAAGTATTATATTATCCTCCCACTAAAAGAATAATCTTTATACACAATGTTTACAACAACAAGAACGATGAATAAAAAGTTTGTGAGGAAGTTCATGTTGTTCAATATAACTAGCCAAGTACCACCCGTGAAAGCCATTTCCAAACACCGTTTGTTGCAATTCCCGTTCTCCTTAGTCTTCTTACAATGGTCAAAGCACGTCTGCGTTTTAGCGTTTATTTTCCTCTCTACAATCATAAATATATTATTATTATTTAGGGGAAAAGTACGAATAGGTACATTGATAATATATTTGAAAGTTTAAAGTTCACACCACAAAAAAGATCATAGGAAATGGCCACCATAACCACGAGAGAGAATACAACTAACAATTTGGAAGAACTCATTTTTCAACTTTAGCTCTAGCTAGCACTCGATTTATTCTTCTAAAACAAAATGTAGTTTTTAAGACATGGTTTTGATGTAAAGGGAGAACTTTATAAAACAAATCTAATTTCTATCATAAATATTTTTATGACCACATTATTAACAATAATTATGGTTTGATGTAAAAGGAGCTAGAAATTTCTACTATAATTATGGTTTAATGTAAAAATAAACAATAGAAATTCAAATTAATAAAAATAGCAAAGAAAGGGGTCCATTATTATTAGCTAATTAAAGTGGTCATAAATTTCTTCCAGTTTCTCAAGATATGGTTTGATTTAAAAATAAACAAAATAATATTACAAAAAGAAATTTCTTTGAAAATGGTTATTACAATATGATTCTTCCAATTAAAAAAAAAAAAAAGGAAAAATGCTGTATTACTATCTTCTTCCAATTATTGAAAAGAGCAAAGAAAAGGGTCTACTGTTATAAAAAAATTAAAAAGGTTTCAAAAATAAAAAGAAGGATTATTTTGATTAGATATAATGGTCATAAGTCATAACCTTTACTTCTTCCAAGTTATTTTATGTTTTAAGTTTTTGTTAACTTAAGTGGATGATTAACTATTTATTTCATATTAAAGAATTTTAGAGCAAATTATTTGTTGTAGTAAATAATACGCTGAGGTACCAAATTTTCTTTATTGTTTTCCATCAAGTTGTCAATTTTCCTTCACATGTTTTATTTATCATGGGATTATGGACATTTTTGTTTTGTTTCTTTTTTTAAAGAATATTTTTTCCTTCAGA